ATATATATATATCTGTATTTGGGAGTTAATGTTTTTTCTTTTAAATTTTATCCTCATTCTTTTTATTATTTTTTTTACAAGTTTTTTTATAAATATTTTTCAATAATTTTATCATTCAAAATTAAATTGGTTGAGAGTTAAGCTTCTTCATTGAACTCGGGTTCATGATTTAAAGCATGTTTGTCTTTTAAAAATACTTTTAAAATATAAAACTAAACAGACTCTTTTAATCATATGCTGTATGCTCTTTGCTTTAATAATAACAATTATTATTTAATTGATATCTTTTTAATCAGAGACATGAGTGGACTCTTAAGTGACATTTTTTCTTGATAAATAACAAAAAAATAATTCTTAAATTGTCGGAAGCTTGTGGCTTCCAATTTGCTTACCTTTATTCCCATGCTCACAGTGATTTCTATGTTTGCTAACGAAATGACTTGCACTAATAGATTGCGTTGTTGAGAAATTAAAGATGCTTGCATTCATGGCTATTTTCTCATTTTGGTATTATTTGTGTGGATAAATGATAATAATATTTTAAACAAACTATTTCATACATTTCTATACACTCGAACCAGCAATGAATGCCCTTTTTTAAGAGCTATTTACAGACTCTAGCTGCCACCTTGTGTGCAAATGGCAAGGTTTCGCTGGAGAAATTGGAGGGTGAAAATGTTCGTTCTCTTTGTTCTATAAAGCTTTTCGGGCTCAGTCCAATTTAATTACTCTCGTGCTCAACCATGGCCAGCCCAGACCCATTGAGTCTCTTCTTATGAGCCCAAATGCGCATTTAACCTTTTTTTTTAAGATTTAAAGCAGAAACCTGAAGGAGAGACATATACACATTAGAAAGACACTTTTCGTTTTTCAACGAGAACGACATCAATTTCACATTGTATTTAAAAGAATCAATAAATTCTCCTCTTGAAACTGGTCTCAGGATCTAAACTTAAGAAAATGAGCAAATATTAGCATGAAAAAAAGGCTCGTATGGTAAGATCTCTCCGTCGTACTAGAATAGAAGGGTCTTGATCTGTGAAGATAGTGCTCCATTTTATTTTTCCATTGATGCTGAACATAAACCTGTGATTGAGATATAGATGTGCATACACTAATAAAAGATACATGGATTCCTGAGAAGAGAGCTATGGTGGTCCTCTTAGACCGTCCAGATCGCACGAGAAAATAAAAACTTAAATCTATATTTGATTTCACCTGAATTGTCCTATCTATTCTTCTGAAGAGAAGTTTGGTTTCAAACCCAGTTCGAACACGAGAAGTATACCATGCTAATATGCCTTGGATGATCCGAGACCAATTCTCAAGAACACACGCTGGTAATTTTAGTACATGCTATGCTACAAGCCAAGATATTTTTTTGTCTAATAAGATTTTACATCAGTTTTCCCTACTGCTGTTGCTCCTCGTGCAGAAATTTTCCAGTTATCCCATGCTTTGACTCTTCCGTTATCTAACAAAGACCCCTCTATTTATACACTTTTTTTTTTTTCATTGGTTTTGCTTTCTCTTGGCTAACCTAACATGTGTTCATCAAATTTACAAGCAAGTCTCACTCTTCTAATTACCTTCATTGCTCTAATACCTACCTTCACCGTTTCTTTCTTGCAGATATACTGCTTTCTAGTCCTCTGTGCATTCAGGCCCTTCGACCATGCGTGTGTTTTTCTTTTGTTTAAACTGCTGGCCCTGTCCTACTTACCACGCTGCATCTTCTATTACCCTATGCAAGAATGCTTTTAAGCTTTTTACTTCGTTGTTTGTTCTTAATTATCCGGCCTTTTGAATTTCCAAGACAAGCCTGCGTTAATTGACTTCAGCTTTTAGCTTGCCCTGTGTAAACAGTGAGGTCTTTGACTGCAGAAGACCAGCATTATCTTTTGTTCTTTACTTCTGTTTTTGTTTTTTTGACATGGATCCTTGTGGCAGCCTTGAATGCAATGCTTACTACCGTTTACCTATTAAAACTGCTTTACTCTTTGTTTTTTTTTTACTCATTTGATTACAGTTTGCACTATTAAATTCTTACTTTAATGAACATCAACCGAATTCCAGGACAAATTATCAACAACCCGCAGCAGAGCACGGTTACCTCGTCTAATAGATTCCATATTTGATCCAAGTTCTCTCCTTGTTTTCCATCTTCTTATTGAGCCTTGCATTGTAAACTATGTATGAAGTTAAGCTTCTATGCGTTTTTTTTTACCGTGGACACTGTGATTTATGGATAGGCGGTCATTTTCAAGAGTAAAATCATGAGAAAGAAACCGTCAACACGAGATTCTTTTATCATATTTGTTTTCTAAAAAGTAATTTTTAGAAAATAATTTTTTAAATTTTTTTAAATTTATTTATTATTAGAAATGTTAATCAATAAAAAAACACTTTTTGATCAACAGAAAATATTTTCTACTCAACGAAAAATAATTTTCAGTTAAAAAAAATTTAATTTAGTTTTCAGAAAGTGTTTTTTTTTATTGTGTTTGTTTTCTGGAAAGTGATTTTTAAGAAATCACTTTTCAAATTTTCTTATATTTATTTGCTAATAGGAAAGTTGATCAACGAAAAACACTTTCTAGTAAAGAAAAATTTGACTTGGTTTTCAAGAAAGTATTTTCTTGAAAAATTTGAGCGGAAAACACTTTTTGAAAGTTGTGAAAAATTTAAAAACGTCATTATTTACTGATTATATTAAATTTGATCCTCAAACTTTTGTTTGCTATATATATTTTATTTTGAATATTTATTTTTCAATTTTATTTTTTAAAATTTTATTTTTATATTAACTTTGGTTCTCATTTTTATAATTGTTATTTTTTTTCTCCTATTATTTTTTTATTGAAATTTTTTATTTATCAAATTTGGTTCTCATTCTTTTGATTGTTACTTATTTTATTTGAAATGCTTTATGAAATGTTAATTATTGTTATTTTAATTTCTTCATCTTTTTTTTCGATTTGATCTTTATTATTTTAATTATTATTTATTTTATTTGATATAATTTATGAAATTATTTTTTTTTCAATTTCATTTTTATTCAACGTTTTAATTTGTAAGATTTGTTCCTTATTATTTTAATAAACTTGAGAAAAATAAAACACTAATAAATTATTTTTTAGTTCATTTTCCATAACATAACCAAATACTGGAAAGTGTTTTCTAGTTCATTTTCTATATAACACTACCAAACATCGAAAAATAATTCACTTTCCAGAAATTCATTTTTCCCGGAATTCACTTTCCAAAAAAAAATAACTTTCCTGCAAACAAACAGAGTCTTAATAATCATATATTTTCCTCTAATTTACTATTTATCACTTGATTCTTATCAGTTGCTATTAACTTACTTGTGATAAAGTTATCTGGTGTTATAACTACTTTCTTTCCGGTCCAAATACATATTATATTATATTTTAAAAGATATATGAAAAAAATTATGTATTTATTATAAATATAAACTCATTGTATTATGGATTATATTGTAAAAATAAAGTATTTGTATTATTGATGACATCGTAGCACCATATGAGCATTATCATTTGTGTATTTAGTCAGAAATTATTGCTGGATCTAGCTAGGTAGCCAAACTCAAAAGCAACACGTTTGGCGGCCCAACCAAACCCAATGAGATTGGATCCATAAAAAAATAAAAAAAATCAATTAATTTTTTTAGTTCAAATTAATTTGTTTTGATGTTTTTGTATTATCTTGATGTGATAATATAAAAATTTAATTTTAAAAAATAAAAAAATATTATCTCAATATATTTTTTAAAAAATAATCATTACGCAATAAGTTAATAAATAGCATATGGACCCACGCTCCACAGTGGATCAATGATAATTTTTTTCAAATGTAAAAATATTTGAGTTTGGTTAAATGCATAAAATATATTTACATCATCATCATCTTCAAATAAAGTATTTTTTACAATAATATTATAAATAGCGCATAGCAAAGTAGCGCACAGTACACCGGTAACAAATTTCTTTTTCTTTAATTTTTTTCTTTTAAGATATTTCTAATTTTTTTTCCTCTTTAACTTTTTTTTCTCTTATTGATTTTGTTTCACACTATAAAGATGAAATAAATTGATGTTACTTTAAGATATTTTCAATTTTATTTTATTTTTTTAATTTTTTTTCTCTTATTGATTTTTTTTCATAACGTAATAAGAAAATAAATTTATGTGATTTTTTTTTTATATTGTACAAAAGTTAGGTGAAATAATTTTTTTCGATTTCAGGTTGATTTGAATTTCATTATTAAAATATATTTGTTTTTACGTTTAAAAATGGTACTAAAAAAATTAAATTTTATTTATTTTTTAATTTACATCAAATTAATATTTTTTATATTTTTATATTATTTTGATGTGATGATATAAAAAATAAAAAAAATATTATCTCAATATATTTTTTTAAAATATATCTAAAAAAATATTATTATAGACATGGACTTATTGCACTGCAAACACAGAATATTTGTACTTTGGATGATATTGGAGCACCTGAAATGTATTGTCTTTTCTGTTTATTAGTTAAAAAGTGTTATTGGATCTGGTTGGTAGCCAAATATATTTTATTATATTTTATTATTTTTTAGATTTTTTTAGCTAGACTTATTCAGTATCAAAAGGTTTGTTTATTTTTGTATTTCAAAAGTATTTTTGAAAAAAATAAAAAAAATTACATTAAATATAAATTTTTTTAGTATTTTTAAATCATCTTAATATAATAATATTAAAAATACACTTTAAAAATTAAAAATATATATTATTTTTAAATAAAAAATACTTTAAAAAAATTACTGAGGTCATTTCTAACCGATGAATGTTTTCCAAAATGAAAAGGAGAATTGATTGCCGTCTACTCCAGTAACATATGATCATACTTCAGTTGATACCCGTACATAAGATCATGCGTCAGTATTTGCCTTTTGTAGTCAACTGACAGCAGCTACTACTTACTAGCAATCTACCTTGCCGCGGCTCTATTACATAAAGAGTTGGCGAGAGCTCTTGACACACTCACTCCCCTACTCTCTCTGCCGTTACTGCCTCACTTCCATAGCAACAACACAAAAGGAGAACAATTGAAAACGATGGCCGAGGAGCAGAAAGTTATCGTTCCAAGAGTGAAACTGGGTAGCCACGGATTGGAGGTAAAACCCCTTTTCACCTTTCTCTCTGTGAATATCCGTTTCTCTATTAGATAGATGTCTTGTAAAAGTACAATTTTTATGACTTATCATATTCATAGCCTCAACGCCTCAGATTCTTGAGTGAAATATTGCAAAAATGGGAGAATGATTGGTTACTCTAAAAGAACCCTTTTGCAGGGACATAAAATTTTGTATGTGCTAAGAAAGGAAAGGTGTTATTGTCTCTTGATTTTTCTGCGTGATATTTTTCGACATTTAGGTCTCAAAGTTGGGCTTTGGATGCATGGGGCTTTCTGGAATATACAATGCCCCACTCCCTGAAGAGGTTGGCATTTCAATCATCAAGGAAGCTTATAGCAAGGGGATTACTTTTTTTGATACAGCAGATGTTTATGGACCTCACACTAATGAAATCTTGGTTGGGAAGGTAAGTGTCGAAATGTTTTTTCTAAGGTTCTTTCATAATATGCTTTAATGTAAAAGAATTGGCCAGTATGATATGGTATCTAGTTTTTTATAATAATAATAACAACCAAGCCGCAATCACAAACTAGTTGGCTGGTATATAGTTTTGATGACTTGCCTGCGGAGTTCCATCTTTAATGGGACCTTATTTCTTTCCTTATATTTGCCTCAGCATAAGAATTGAAAATATTTGGACTCTCCTGATGAAGCTAGTCCCTTTCTGTTTTTCTCTCTTAATGTCATTTTGGCATGGAACTGATGCAATTCTTTAGATCGATATGACTTTCTTTTCATGCTATTATTTCTGATAAATGTTCTAGTTGTTGAAGGCCATAAATATATTGCATTTGTAGGGCTATGTGTCACTATCATTTCATCAATTCATGGACATGCTTGAGTTTCTCAAACTCAGGGGTACTGAAGTGCTTTTTATCTTCTTGCAATAAAAGGTTTTCCCCACTCATCAAATCACCGGTTAAGTCATTCCCTGCAAAGGAGTTGTCATGGCTTGAAAAGCTTAAGGATTAAAAGGGTATATGGTCCCCACCATTTGAAGAATTGAAACAGTGTTTGTAAATGAGAAGCTAGCATGTCCAACAATGGACGCCCAAAACAAAAAATATGTCGCTGAAGCGAGCAATTAACATATGAAGATCATGCCTAATATATGTAATGAACAGTTGGCCAATGAGCCTTTGTTTCAAATGGCATGTGTCTCTCCTCCCCTAAAAGAGCTTTTGGGATAAGAGGAATTTCTGATATAGCATCAGGTGGTATTTTTCTTTGTTTATTTATCGCTAAGACTTGCATTTTGCAGGCATTGAAGCATTTGCCTAGAGAAAAGATCCAGTTGGCTACAAAATTTGGTGTTTTTCCAAACATTTCTGAAATCAAGAATCCTGCAATCAATGGCAGTCCTGAATACATCCGTGCATGTTGCGATGCTAGCCTGAAGCGTCTTGATGTGGAGTACATTGATCTCTACTATCAGCACCGTGTCGACACGTCCGTTCCAATAGAGGAAACTGTATGTTCTTTTCCTTTATTTCACTACGTAACAGTTCAAATTAACTGCGTGCACTATTTAATTTCTAATTCAATTACTTTGAGTTTGCAGATGGGAGAGCTTAAGAAGTTAGTGGAAGAGGGAAAAGTTAAGTATATTGGATTATCCGAAGCAAGTCCCGAAACAATAAAGAGGGCACATGCAGTCCATCCCATTAGTGCAGTACAAATGGAATGGTCACTTTGGTCTCGTGACATTGAAGAAGAAATAATCCCACTTTGCAGGTATCAATATCAATGGGATTTTCATTTCAAGTTGATCATTTATAATGGACACATTCTGTAATTTAAAACTTCTTTTCAAGGTCTTCACGAATTAAGTTATTATTCTTTTTCTTCGATTCATTTGTAAAATTAAAATTTTTGTTTTTACATTTGTTGCCTTTTTAACCCTTAGTTGTTTAACTTGTGCAGGGAACTTGGAATTGCAGTAGTTCCATATAGCCCTATCGGTCGCGGTTTTTTTGGTGGCAGAGCAGTCGTGGAAAGTTTGCCTTCGGAGTCTGTGCTGGTATGAAGCTCCATAAACACGTCACGTAATGAGATAAAAAGAAAACCGTATCTAGTTGCTGCAATTCAATCTTTAAATACTGCCCTTTGTGCTTTAAGAAAACTACTGTAACTTGAACACCATTAACCCAATTTATTTATGTGCTTATACTTTTGTGTCGTTGCTTATTAATTTGACCTAACATGCTTGGTAACTTGTGGCCTGCTTGCGTTGTTTTAGAAAATTTATCCAAGGTTCACGGAAGAAAATATCGAGAAGAACAAGGTGTTTTATACTCGAATAGAAAAACTGGCGGCAAAGCATGGCTGTACTCCTGCTCAGCTTGCCCTTGCTTGGGTTCTCAATCAAGGGGATGATGTGGTGCCTATCCCTGGTGAGTCAGCTTGTGTTTATGTATGTTTAGTTCTCTGATTCAAGCTCCAAAATTTTGATTGAGGTATCAAATCCCACAAATTGTAGATTGCTAATCTTTTCTTCAAATATCTCTAGGAACCACTAAGATTAAAAATATGTATGACAATATTGGATCATTGCAAGTTAAGTTGACAAAAGAAGACTTAAAGGAAATCTCAGATGCTGTTCCCATTAATGAAGTGGCTGGAGTAAGATCTGCGCTGTTCCACCTTACATGGAAGTTCGCTGACACACCACAACCTAAAAACAGCCAAGTCTGAACTTGATATGTACGTGAGAGCAAAGGGTTGCTGCTACGTTATATTTTGGCTTGTTAAATAAATTCCATCTCGGACAAGTTTTATCATGGTGAAGAGGGAACAAAATAATGTAGTGTCATACCCTAGTGTATACAACTTCCTGTACAAATCTTGGACAACCTAAAAAACAGTATTTCTGGTACCTTTGTGCAGACAACTTCCTGGAAAATTTATAAAAGCTGCTGAAAGTCTTTGAAGGTTGTTCTGGTGTTGCAGCTACAAGAGTCGACGTAGTAAACATACTGTAGAACCAGTATGGAGGATGAGAGACTTGAATCTTTATGTCATGTATGATAGAGGTTGCTCAAATTTACTAGTACTATTACACAGACTCTGACTGTTGTGGTATAAATATTGTGCACACGCACACTGTTCCCATTTACATATTTTATCGTGGACTTACTGTTTAAAATTGTTTTTTATTTTGGTCCTCACGATTACATCTTGTTTTGGCACAATTAAAGAACAATTGAGTCAAAATTGTTGATTAAAAATAAAATTGGAAGATGGAGGACCAAGGTGAAATAAGTGTTATAAATGAATGATGCTTTCAAAATAATCACAAAATATTTGCTTTAGTTCTCCAATTTTACAAATTATACTTATTTGATTCCTTGACAGTTTTTCAATTAAATTTTGATACAAAATTTATTTTTCCTACATTTTAATTTGTAGTTTGAGAAAGGAGAAAGAGGATGCTGATTTTTAATGATATAAAAAAATCAAAATTAACATTAATTTTGATCACAAAATAACTGATTTTAGAGTCAAAATGTTTTATTTAATGAGGAAGTTTAACTTAAATGTTTTTTTATCTTGAAACAGCTTTAAAAACTAGATCTAAACTGGAGTAGAGTTTTTGTTTTAGTTGATTTTCAAGTTTTTGTGTTATTGTTTTAGTTTTTTAAGTTTATTTATATATTTTTCAAGGCATTTAGGGTCAAAATTGAGTTAAAATTTGGTTTTTTTGATAAAAAAAAAATATAAATCCTATTTTTCTACCTCTGTAGTAGCTAAAATCTAAAAAATATAGATAACGCATCATTTAATTTTTTTTTCAAAAAATATTTCTTGTCCACCTAAATTGAATTTTTTTTTAAAAAAAGTAAGGCATTCATGTATGTCCTTTCTAAATAAACCAGGTGCTAGCCTGTAATCTTTCTTTCTTAAAAAACAATCTTTTAAAAAAAATCATGATTTTAGTTAAGTGTTTTTTTTAATAATTTCTTAATTTATATTGAAATTAATTCCCCTTTCTTTAATTTCTTTATTTTCAGTATTTAGTTTTTTTCTTATAGTGGTTTTTTTAATTATTTTGTATATATTTAATTTTTAAAGAGATTATTATAATTCATCTAGAATTTTTTTTATATTTTATATAATTAAAATTTATTTTAAAAGATGAAAAATATTTATTTTTGGATAGTATTTTTAATAAGTGCAACCTTACAAAATATTTTTTTGTTTTGATTTTATTCAATTAATTTTATATGTATATTAATTTTTATTATTATTCTATTAAATAAAAAATAATTTTAATAAATAGTGTTGTTGAACATAATCAGGTGAATGAACTATATTGCGAGATCAAATATCTTAATTTATATTCACCTCTTGACTTTTCAAATATATATATTTAGTTATTATTAATTTTTTTATTTATTTATTGATATAGATAGTTTTTAATTTATTTAATTAAATGCATACATAAATTTTTTTAATTTACACTTGATACTATTAGTGTAAAAAAAAATGTGTTGCAAATGCCTGAATATTTAATTTTTATTTTTTTATAAAAAAATAATCAGCTTGCGGCAAAACACATATCAGATAACTAATTTACCTCTAAATGACACTAGAATTACCACAACATAACTAAAAATATGGCTAAGAAAATTAAAATTTATATCCTAATTTTTATCATTAATTTTAAATTCAATTATTTAAATCAAATGAGAGAAAAAAATATATTAATTAGTTAAATTGTTTTCATTTATATCATATACTAAATAATGATCATTCAATTTGAATTCAATGATTTAGATTAAATGAAAGAATAAACACTTATTAATCTTCACTTATTACTTTTTGAAAATATTGTTTGTTTAAAAATATATTAAAATAATATTATTATTTTACATTAGCATGTTAAAACATAAAACAATATTAAAACAATATCAATACAATCTTTTTATATATATTTTTTTAAAAAATATAAACAAATTTTTTCATGCATGAAAACAAATGGTTCATAAATTGATCTAACATATTTTAGGAAACTATCCTAGAATTTTAATATTAGCCAGGTATCTCTTTAATTAATATATATAATATTACGCGATAAGTTTCCTATCAAGGCACCAGTGGTCTAGTGGTAGAATAGTACCCTGCCACGGTACAGACCCGGGTTCGATTCCCGGCTGGTGCAAATGCTTCCTTTTTTGGTTTTTTGTTGTCTTTGTCCTTCCTTAGTCAAATATCAGTCAGTCCTTTCTACAAAGCTGAGACCAAACCAGCAACCATGATGTCATTTTGAGTTATCTATACCCAAAATCGTCCCCTGAGCTCCATGCCAACTCACCTACCACCTCCACTGACAAGAAACCTTTCGCAAAAGAACACTACGGCTAAAAAAAATGGCAGAGGAGAAGAAGACATTCTAAGATTGAAACTCGGTAGCCAAGGGCTCGAGGTAAAGTCTCCCATTTCCATATAAACAACGAGTTCTGGTTTGCAAATGTATTTATATGATTAGAGAGTGATAAGTTCACGAGACTTGGTGATCTTGTCCCATGATTTTGGAGACCATGATGATGGTAGTATGGAGAACTCTAAGATATATGTATTGCCTTCTATGGTTTGAAATGTGAATTTTCTAGAAAGACACAAACTTCATGCTCAGAAAGCACACATGCTTGCAAATACTAACTGGGTTTTGACCATAATTCTGTATCCTCTGCAATTCTTTGCTTTTGCTTCTGTTAGTATTGAAAGAAAAAAAACGTCTTCTGTTGAGCACTGAAATAATATATATATATATATATATATATATATATATATATATTTCTGTTGAAATTCCGTTGTCTGCATTCTTCCCATTCAATAATGTATACGCGTATTATATAAGCAATAGCTTACAGATTAGACTACATTAGACTACTTAGGATGACGTATCGTAACATTATACATACCATACAGGTCACAGTGTTTACAAGTGCGAGGAGCATGCCTTAAGCTGCTAGATTCGCTTACAAGTATGTACATACATCCACATACAGACATTGTAACTTAGATTGCTTGATACTGCAGAAACAAATCGAAAGTCTCGTGGTGTCACTGAAGAAGCTGAGCCCTTGCATTCTCTAATGCTGCATTTGCAGCATATACCATTGAATCCCTCTCGTCTTCAAGTTTCCAAGCTTCTTCCATTTTCTCACATGCAGCATCCAAGCTTCTCTCTGATTCTGACTTATGGTTAGAAATTTCAGTAACACAAGACTTGCACCTCAAAGTCTCAGCCTCACAGAAAGACAATTGTTTCTCCAGATCAAGAAGCATGTTTTTGACACGTGAAACTTCTACGCGAAGTGATTGGAGGTGGTTTTCAGAAGCTTCATAAGCAGATACTGCCTCCACATGGCGCTGAGAGATGTTGTCAAACTGGGTTTTCTTATCATTGTAATGGTCAAGGAATTCTTCTCGAGAAAAGTCTTCGCCCATGGACTCCTCAATTCCAGCCAGTTTTGATTTGCATTGAATGTACTCCCTCACAGCCTTGGAAAATGATGCATAGTCAATTGAGAGATGGCGCAAAGTATCAAAAGTGTTCTCTGCCACCTTCAACATTGTTTCATGCTGAGTCCGATCCATAGACTGCAGAATGTCGAGCAAACCTTGCCCAAAAGTTTTCAAGGCTAACTTTGATGGATCACTGTTCTCCACCACAGTTTTCGTCCCTGAAGGCTTCTGAAAAATACCATTTGGACGCTCAGCATCCTCTCTAGGAGATTGTAGAAATGGACCTTGCTGTATATCACTTTCATCATCATTTGATGAACTGCCTGCTAAGAGAGCTAGGCCTTCAATATCACCCACATCTTCTATAACAGGATCAAAAGGAGAAGTGCCTGTTACAGAACAGGGGTGTTAGAACTGAAGATTTGAGGAAGGAAAACAGCTGAACAAATGAATGGACATTATTTACGGCAATAGATGGGTTCACCATGGGGCTCTTTTAGGAACCAATAAGTGAGGTCAAAGCAACCCTACCCAATCAAACACGGACATGAATTTGTAAAAACTGATAAACATCATCAGTCAACCACCAAAATGAAAAATGAACTCCATGTTGTGAAATGATACCGGGGATCATGCAAATTATCAAAACAAACTGACAGCAATAAACAAAGAAATCAAGTACCCAAAAAAGATACACCTTCACTCTTTGTGTGCCTTGCATTAGAAATTTGCAAAGAGAACTCCGGTTCTTGGCAAGGAATCTCAGGCTTGGGTATGAGTGGGGGGACTTCAAGTGCTGTCCCTGACACAAGATCCCAAGACTCGGAGTCCTGCATGACCAGGTCCCTAACAAGGACCTCATCTTTTCTGATAGGTGGATCCATGGATGAAATAGGATAATTATCATCACTCTCCACCATTGTTGACTCCAACTCAGCACCAGAACTCCTATTGTCTTCCGTGCACAGTTCATTGTTTACAGTAAACAAGGACCGACGGGCAGGGTATACCTTGCTTTCATCTCCTTGCATATTCTGCATGTTATTCCCTTCAGAATCTGCCCACTGGAAAAATTTACAAGCTCCATGTTTCTGTATCAAAATCAAACCACTTTACTTAGAACGAGACAGGCATTACAAACATAGGCAGAAGAATGGAGAAACACACAAGTAAAAACTAATAACTGTGTTTTAACTTTGACCATCTCGCCCAAAGACCAAGCGTTTACAGCTACAATCAATTATTGGAAAGCATTAGAAAAACAGCTTTATTCTCCAGAGGTGATTCCCGGCTGTGGCCAGGAACTTTCTTAGCTTTTCTTGAGAAAATTTAGAGTGGGACTGCTGTTATAAAGTCAGTTTCATGTTCTTGTCTTTGAAAATACGACATAGCAAGTTCTTTAAATCTAAATTGTTGAATACAGATCAACAGTGAGGCTTGTGTTTAATCTTCACATCAAATATGAAACAACGACCCACTTCTAAACGGTTGGTTAAAATGTGATGTGGACTTTACGAACACGATAGAGCATGATCTGGAGAACATGGAAGCGTCGAGTCCAATGAGATCAACGAAGAACAGCACCAGCCCGTCACAATGATTATGAACAGATGGCACATATTATTGAGGAAAAAAATGAAGACCCGGAACTCAAAACAGGTTAGAAAATTATTGAAAAGGAAAGCGAAGCAAAAGTCAAAGAACACACCTTCTTAATCCGGCAAGCAAAATACCATCGGTCTCTGTCTGGACCACTTGATACGAGATTTAAACTGCATGACCCGGCACCACATGGACACATAGGAGGTTTAAATCTAGCAGCAATGTCGTCACTCCATTTGAAGAATCCGCAACTACCCTAAAAATTAACAACAAAAGAGCAATGCAAAAGATATAAGGGAAAGGTGGGGCATGAGGTGTAGACTGGACAATAGTACTGTACTAACCGATGTTCTACGATCAACAGGGCAAGCATAGAACTTTCTGCCAGGATTTTTAACGGTGTTCGAAGTTGAAACTTTACAAGTGCCCCGGCCACAAGGGCATCGAACCACTGGAAGATCAGGAACCTGCACTGAAGGCGAGGAGGCTGATCCAGGGCTTAAGGCCAGTGATTTTGTGAGGGTTTTGCTGGGGCAATCTTTGGACCAGTGGCCAAGCCTTTTGCACAGAAAGCATTGATCATGTTCTTTAGGGTTCCTTTGAGGAGATGGGGAAGCAGAGGGTGATGCTTGTGGTGGAGTTGAGGAAAATGGATAACTATTTTGACACTCGTGGCTCTCACACGCCATCACTTCCACTGACTCTCTGGTTTTCTTCGAGGAGAAGAGGAAGGACGGGAGACGGAGGGGACCGAGTTTGCTTCTTTTATTTTGGTTCACACTGACTGGAGGGAACTTCCTTTTGTGATTAGACATGAAAGAAGGGAAGTGACGGTGGACAGCCTTGGCTTGCCTATGAACTAAGAAAGCTAGTGCATTGCTATATAGCCTAGAGAGAGGCGCCTGAGGCGGAATCTTCTCTCCACTCCACCTCTCAATATTTTATTCTCTCGCTTTCCTTTTGGATCATCATGAGAATGAGACGATGACTTTAAAATATTTTTAATTGAAATAGTGATAGTATTTCAAAATAATCTAAAAATATATAAAAAATTATTTTAAATAAAAAATAAAAAATATAAAAATATAATTTTATATCGTATTCCCATACACAACATACATTATGCTATTTTAGACCGGTTGATACCTCCACCAGGATTAAGTTTTAGGGTTATAAAAAACAATTAATTCGGTAGTGCATCTTTTATATGATATATTTAAAAAATCAATTTGTCTAAAAATTGATTTTAAAAATTAAAATTCAATAAATCAGTAGAAAAAACAAACCCTCTTGATAGCTAAAAGACAAAATATCACTCCCTCCAATCGATTTCCTATATTACACATGGGAGATGCAACCCAAGTCCCGTACATTAATTAAAGCATTGATTTTCTAAATATTTCCTCCTAAAAAGCACTAAATAAATATCATTAAAAAATATAAATTTATTTTTTTATTGGACAGAATGCAAGTTTTCATATTGTATTTAAAAAAAATCAACAAAGAAATTATGAAGATAAATATTAAAATTTGTTCTGTTTTTTCTCCGGCTTAAAATTTATAAATATTTTTTATAAAATGAGATTTATTAAAAATTATGATTAAATTATAAGTCATTTTCCTTTTAAGTCATTTTCCCAACATCCTGTGGTAATAATCTACATCCACATGAAAATAATTTAGTTGCATAATTATATTATATATAATGCACCTTGTTGTAACCCAATTTTGGATTCACTAAAATTTTTTAGGAATGTTATTTTATCTTATTATTCATGACAAAAAAATATAATAATAAAAAAAAAAAGAGTTTAAAATATATTTTCTCGAGTCAACCGTCATTTTCTGTCAAAACCGAGTCCACCAGGTCAATACGGGTTAAACGATGTCGACCGGGATGAAAAATGAGTTTCAGGACGTTTCGGGTCAAAACCATCATTTTCTGTCAAAACTGAGTCTATCAGGTCAATACGGGTCCCACCATGTCGACCGCAATGAAAAATGAGTTTCGGGCTGTTTCGGGTCAAAACTGTCATTTTCGGTCAAAACCGAGTCCACCGGGTTAATACGGGTCCCACCATGTCGACCGGGATGAAAAATGAGTTTCGGGCTGTTTCGGGACAAAACTGTCATTTTCGGTCAAAACCGAGTCCACCGGGTTAATACGGGTCTCACCATGCCGACCGCGATAAAAAATGAGTTTCGGATTATTTTTGTCAAAACTGGTATTTTTGGGTCAAAAAACCCGGTCCACCGAGTTGATACCCGTATAAAAAAGTTTTTTTTGTAATTTAAAATTAATTTTTAGCGGATGAAAAACTTTTTATAATACTGATTTGAATTTTTAATTTTTACCCCTATAAATAAATATTATTATTATTATTTAATATTATTATATTATTATTTAGTATTATTATATATAATAAGACAAATAGTAATCGGTGGAAGTTGAAAATCTTAACAATCCGTGAATTATTGTCTGAATTCATTGGCTATAAATAGCCAATGAATTCAAGACACAAGGGAGAAAAGAAAGATAAAAAATTCATTTTGTATTTGCAATTGTGAATTCGGAATTACTGTTTGGGTTACTATTTGGGTACTATTTATTTTTTAAATATTTTTTCTTAATTTTTTTTTAATCAATTGAAAAATAACAAAAAAATATCTCAACCGTTAGATCTAATAGTATTTAGATCTGAGCCTTTGATTTCTTAGGATACAATAGGCTTTACCACACCAGATTAAAACCCAAATCAAACTCAGCCGTTCAAATAATCTACTCTTCGATCTGGTTGCGCCACGTCCGCAGGTATACCGAGCACTCGGTACACCGCGCCACACCCGATCGTAGACCATTCAATCCTGACCGTCCGATCAACTTGAAGATCAAACAAATCACAGCCGCACGATCTGTTCATCCGAGATCCAACGGTTCACAGCCTTCCGACGCACGAGTGCACCATACACTCCTCCACACCAGATCAAAACCCAGAGCTTCTCTCTCCTCTCGCCTGCGATTCTCTCTCTCTCCGCCGATCTCCCATTTCCGGCCGTCTCAAGCCACGCGTGAACAGTAACCGCG